GACCAAAAAGCATAGGCTCTAGCCCACCAAAATGACCAAAAATGGCCGATTTTTGACCAAAAAGCATGGGCTATAGCCCACCAAAATGACCAAAAATGGCCGATTTTTGACCAAAAAGCATGGGCTATAGCCCACCAAAATGACCAAAAATGGCCGATTTTTGACCAAAAAGCATGGGCTATAGCCCACCAAAATGACCAAAAATGGCCGATTTTTGACCAAAAAGCATGGGCTATAGCCCACCAAAATGACCAAAAATGGCCGATTTTTGACCAAAAAGCATGGGCTATAGCCCACCAAAATGACCAAAAATGGCCGATTTTTGACCAAAAAGCATGGGCTATAGCCCACCAAAATGACCAAAAATGGCCGATTTTTGACCAAAAAGCATGGGCTATAGCCCACCAAAATGACCAAAAATGGCCGATTTTTGACCAAAAAGCATGGGCTATAGCCCACCAAAATGACCAAAAATGGCCGATTTTTGACCACAAAGCATGGGCTATAGCCCACCAAAATGACCAAAAATGGCTGATTTTTGACCAAAAAGCATGGGCTATAGCCCACCAAAATGACCAAAAATGGCCGATTTTTGACCAAAAAGCAGCCCACCAAAACTATAGCCCACTAAAATGTACAAATGACTGAGTTTGACCCCTAATCAACAATTTTTGAAAACAATCCAGAGATTTTCGAGCTCCAAAATGATTTGAAATTATCAAAAATGCTCCAGCTAATGGCCACAGTGAGCAGGAGGGACTGACACTATAATGKATTGATTGATTTTGATCTCAATTTTCAGCATCCACCAGAAAAGAAGACATGATCACACTGTACTCCAAGGTTGCATTTGGATTGTCTGYGGGTTTCTTGGTTTGTTCAATCATACTGCTGGTTGTGTCGGTGTGCTTGAGAAGGAAATGGTTTAATAGTGCACTGTCAATGACAGCTGTGGAAGGGAGAACTAATACAATTTGTAATGGTGAAAGAYTGCAAAACAACATCAAAACACAAGARAACATCCTCTACATGGAAGAAAGAGTGTTGAACAACAACAAATGAGATATCTAGATATGGATGAAATTATACCCTTATGCGCGTGAGAAGAGACTTTTAATTGGAGCAAGTATTGGATGAMGTGGTGACTTTAGGTGAGATTCCCACCAGTAAATAATACTAAGGCCTTAACGGGATGGACTCAAATGAGTAGTTTGGTAGACCATTTCAAATGAGTGAAAACTTAATGTGGAAACAAATATCCCTATAATCTTAAATTACTAATGATTTGTATTTTTACACAAATTTCGGTTGATAGTTAACCGTCAATTTGGGAAAAATATAGAGTCTCTTTCACTGTTTGCTACTCCATCTTGGGAAACCATGTTTTTGYATCGAAGCAAAGCAACCGTTGAGCATGCAATTTGATAGAAACTTTTGAATAATTGTTTGTCAGTAGGTAACATTGCATTCCCAATGGCCATCTTGCTGCTGCAATGCAAAAGTATAGATAGAGTCATTTTCATCCGTCTGTGAAATAGGAATTGTACTATTAAATACTATTACCCCCTGTTAGCTTCCAACAGTTCAACTTATAATGTACGACAAATGAATTAGGCAAACACAGTTTTGATTTTGCCTTTTGGTAGCCTACTACACCCTAATTCGTAACTATTAAACACTGACTAGTAGTAATTGTTTCACAGACGGATGAAAATGACTCTACCTTTCAAGATGTTTCAAAGAAACATGAAGCAGACAATTTCACAATCCAAAATAATTTGGACAAATATTTTTTTCTGGATATTGTTTCACCACATTACTGGAAATTCTCCCTTGTAAGTCCTTACTTTAACACTGGGAATTCCTCACAAGCCAGTCCTAAAACTCACCCTTAAAACAATCCTGCTACCCAAATTGACAAGAATTCCTCCTCCTTGAAGGTATTCTTCTTATAGGGTAGGTTGGTTTTTATCTTAAATATCAATCTAGGTTGGTATTTTATATACCAAACTAGGTTAGGTTAGGCTAGTTTGTATTTTATATACCAAACTAGGTTAGGTTAGGCTAGGCTAGTTTGTATTTTATATACCAAACTAGGTTAGACTAGGTTAGTAATGTTTATTCTTCAATTGTAAATATGGATAAAAGCAGATAATATGTTATCGATTTTTTCAAATAAAAGTTATTTGACACAAAATGTGTGGGCGTAAAATGTGTGGGCGTAAAAATGYGTGGTGCATTTTTATAAAGTCTTTCCAGTACAATAAAGAAAAAAATATATACAAATTTATTCCATTTTTTTTTTCATTTTAGAACATTAACTTTGGCAACCTAATTTCCCCTTAACAAAAATCATCTAACTCGACCTAACCTACCTTTCCATGATCAAATCTAAGTTAAATCAACCTAACCTACCTTCCCCTAAAGAAACCTAAGTTAAGTTGACCTAACCTACCTTACCCTACCAAAACATATGTTCTGTAACCTACATGTATTATAGGATAGGATTATAATATTTAAGGATTATAAACATTAATTAATTATTTTAAATAATTTCATTGCAATCAGTTTTTCTTGCCAAATCAGACATGTAAGAGCCAATAAAATTTACATCAAATTTACACTTAGAGAACAAAGAATAACATTATAATAATTTCCTTAGCACAGCCTGGGCGCAGCCAAATGAAAACTGACATTATGTWTGATGAGCAAAACACCAGTTTTCATTCCATTGCACAAAGTTCATGTATTAGCCTCRTTTAGGAGCTGTCCCCAGCYACTAAAGGAGRCTAGTCATGTATATGTTTGATAAGAATAATATTCCCTTGCACTTAAAACAAAACATAAACAACATTATATTTTTTCAAAAAGGGTTGCCAAAAAGACTGRTTGCTTCATCAGAAGAAAAAATCTCAAATCATACCATAATCAAAGATAATATAATTTAATGCAAGTCTTCAATAATCAAGATATTCATTTTATCCAGCAATCTTTCTGGCAACCTTATTGTAAATTAATAGACAATCTTTGTTCTGTAAGTTGTAAGTGATATGCATTTTATTAGCCAACACTTACATGTGATGCAAAAACGTTTTTCAAATGAAGTATATCACAATGGCTGATGGATAGTTGATGGTTGTCATAATCATCCAGAGTCAATCTTTTGCCTTTCAGTGTTCTCAAAATAGCAAGCACTCCAATAATATTTGGACTCTTCTGACATACTGAAGACCTGGGGTGGATGTCTAGAAGCCCCATTCCCAGTCCACCTCATCTGGAACAACCTCGACTTGAAAACATTCTATTCTGTCACCTTCTTTGAAACCTGAGAATTTTTCAAAGCTTATGCCACACTCTTGTTCTTTTTTTACAATATCAACATCATCTGAGCCCCGCTTTAGACTTGAAGATTTACCTAAATGGGATGAATATCATGATCAATTTTTCAAATTCTTTTTGTTGGCATACATAATTGTGGCAGGTCAATAGAAAAAACATAAACATAAACAAAAACAGTGATGAAAAGCACAATAAAAAACAGATATAACATACCTTCATAGATAGGTTCTTCTCCTCGAAGTATTCTATATCTACAATCTTTGTTAAACACTCCCTGTTTTACTCTACAGCCYGCTACCCATGCCTTCTTAGAGCCAGTTAATTTAAACACCTTGAGAATCTCTGCTTCACCAACTTGCTTTTCTTGCTTTATGGCTGGAAGTCTGCTATTCATTTCATCCTGGAGAAAAAACAAAGGATGTTTATTGACAAAAATTGTCAACTCAGTTTTCTCCTTTTCTTTAAAATGGTTTTTCGTCATTGATGTTGTTGCAGTTTTTTGCCCTCTCCTATTATTGTCACTTGCAGTTTCTTTTTGTTGTTATTGTTGCATTGTAATTTCCTACTGAAGTTGTGTTCTTGTAAAACTGCAGTGTTGATTCTTACAAGTAGTTTGTTGCCATTGTTGGTTAATCCTCATAAATTTACCTTCAAGTCAGCCAGGATTTTGTAGATAACTCGATGATTCTTTATTGTKACATCCATCTGTTTAGCAAGCTGCTGGATGTCCTTAGGAATCTTTATATTAAAGGCAAGTACAACACCTAGACCACAATGCAATACAACACATTATTGTGAATATAACAACATATTTTTGTGAGTTCCTGGTGGAATAAATCACGCAGGATCTTGGGAGAACATGAAAAAGGTGTAAAAAATCTCAAGCTGGAGGCGAGAGATTTTCAGCCTTTTGAGTGTGTTTCCCCAATATCCCAAGTGGATTATTTTCCCAGGAACACATGGAAATATGTTGTTCATTGCCTTGATATTATAATATTTTCACATCCGTGCATTTACTGGTGAAATAAACAATAACATTATTTTGACCAATCATAGTGTGCATACTATGAAAGCTATAATGTAATGAATTATAACTGTATATGGCACAAGGACATATATTACCTTTGAATGAATGAGCTTTCTTGATATCATACTCTGATAAAGACCCAACGTCAGCATGGAGTACACTTAGCTTGATTTTATCACATTTATATGTCTTGATGGCATCGACAATTGCTTCTACTGAACCATCGACATCACCTGTACATAAACAAGAACATCAAGTACAATTCCATACATAAGAAGATCCTTTCAAAGGACTTGGATGGTATCATTTTACAGCAAGTACTACAGTGCTCTGTATATTGTCTTTGCAGCTCAGATTTTTACTCCATTTGTAGATCATTAAAACTGGCAAAGGTCCAATGCATTTATTTACATTAAAGTAGCCCAAGGAAATAGATAGTTGCAGTAAATGATGACACCATGCAAGTAAACTATGACAAYTGGACTATTTAACACAAATAACATCTAGTGACAGTGCTAATAACATTTCTTTTAAGTGAACYAATCCCAGCAACATCTTGAAAAGATGCATYAAACCAAGATAGCCATTTATCTTGCCGTAAACAGAAACCTTTTTACATGTAGGATTATAATCATTTACAGGTCACGCTCAAGCACTTTAATGTCTACCTTTCCAGGAAACTGTAAAATGGTACTAAACTGGTATCATWTGWTCTTGAGCGTTCTTACAAACCTTTAATAACTACATCAATTTTATTGGTGGCATCATATTTTCCTTGTGAAGTTTTAGTTCTTCTTCCTTCTCCTTCTTTTATGAGATCATCTACAGAAAAACCTTCAAATAAGCTCTCTCTTTTTTTCTGGTCTTCAATAGCTTTTCTTGACAATGCCAGTTCATTGGCTTTTCTCTGTGGAAACAGTACAAAAATAAGCTTCAAGTACATGTACCTTCATATTGGTGACATTAATTGGATAGGATGACTATTTAGACAAGAAGAATTCACATTTAGAACAATTCATGAGTAAATGCCATAGGTATGGGCAAATTTTAGTAGTATTTTTAGAGTTGTTGTATTTAACTGTGATATGAACTAGTAAACTACCAGTTAKAAGAAGGTGGTATTCTGACCAGATAGTAGCAATTGGTATTGTGACCAGTAATGTTAGGCTGCAGCCAGTTTTATGTAAACCACAAGATGATAGCATTCATAAAGTGTTTCATGGATTAAGAASTCTAAGTTGGTGTTGAATGAAGTTACTAGAGTRCTTGCACTATGRCCATGAAATAAAATCTAAATAGAACTTACTATCAAATACCAYTTATTTAGTGACTATTAGTSAMTATCATTCAACTGGAACAGTCTTAGTAACAATACATTCTGTACGAATACAACAGAAACTATACTGTTCCTGTTGAGTGATAGTGACTAACAGATCACTGGAAATAATAATAATAATAACAATTAGATAGCAACTATTTAGATTTTATTTCATGGACATTAGTGTAAGCACTCATCTTTGTACCTCAGTTTCYACTTGAAAGACTCTTTCGCCAGCTGTCGGTAGTTCTTTCCATCCTGTAACCTGGACAGGAAATGAGGGAGGTGCTCTGTCAACAACCATTCCTCTGTCTGTATACATTTGACGTACTTTGGCAAATGTGCTCCCTGCTACAATGATATCCCCTTTKCTTAATGTACCATTTTGAACCAGAGCTGTTACTACAGGACCTAGTCCTTTGTCTTTTTTTGCTTCAATAACAACACCTTCTACACCGGCATCGCTGTTGGCCTGTAGGTCATTCACCTCAGCCAAAGTTACTATTGCTTCTGTTAAACTGTCCAAATTGATGCCCTGAATTGGAATGGATGTGAATTGAATTAATCAAATCAAAGGATGAATTAACAACATTCAAACAGATTTCATGATCTACAGCTTTTTTGTCACCAAATTAGATCATCATCATAACAATTAATAAAAGATATAGAAATAAAGGAAAGTAGGGAGGTCATAAATTAATTTTTCCATATTTATTTCCAAGGGACTTTCCCCCAGAATAACCTCCTTCTAATTTAGCACCTTTCCTTTATTTCTATATCATGTTTATCATAGCTGGCATGCCGTCCTCATATTCATATCTTTACAATTAATAAAAGGTTATCTGACATCATCAGACAACTTTCAAGATAAATATTATATCAAGACATGAAATATTTATTGCAACACACAAATAGGAAACCCTTATACACAATACATCCAGTTACTACAAAAGCAAACTTTTTTAGAGAGAGCCATTTATATGTGAAAATACATGGCAGAAACTGACTGCAGAATGACCAAATTTAGTTGAATATTGAGTAATTAAATTATAGAATTCCTGCCATAACTGTATCATGGATCACATACAACAACCATACCCTACAGTTTATAACTTCATCAATAACTAAACATTATCTGCCATATATTATAAAAAATACCTTGAGTGCTGAGATCTCTACAACCTGCACATCCCCACCATATTCCTCCAGTTGTATCCCATGAGTGAGAAGCTGACGTTTAAGTAGGTCAACATTTTTCTTCCCTTTATCTATCTTGTTAATAGCTACAATTATTGGGACTTTAGCATGTACAGCATGTCTTATTGACTCCACTGTCTGTGTCTTGACACCATCATCAGCGGCAACAACCAGGACAACAATATCAGTTACATTAGCACCTCTTGCTCGCATGGATTCAAATGCAGCATGACCAGGTGTGTCGATGAAAGTAATTTGTTGCCCAGAAGGCAATGTTACTACATAACAGATAATTAGATGGAATCATAAATGCATTGAAAAACAACAACAATTTTTACAATGATGAACATGTCTGCAGACAAGTCTATATATTTATATTTTGATGAACGAGTATGTTAAATATTAATAATAAATACCTAAAAAGGCACCAATGTGTTGTGTAATACCACCAGCTTCGCCAGCAGCAATGGAACTGTTCCTCAATTTATCCAGTAGTGTTGTCTTACCATGATCAACATGACCCATAATAGTAACTACTGGAGGCCTAGACCTGTTGAAATATAAATATTATGTATTCTAAACATGGCTTTTGCAGAAAAAATTATTGCAGGACAGAAAGGACCTGTAATAATATTGCTTTTTGTTTTTTAATCAAAAAAATTATGAGGAATATACGTATCAGAACTGATTCAAGAACAATTTTAATAAATATGCAAAATATATTGTAGAAATGTGAGAAAAAATAAAGCAGGTATACATACCTCTGATTATTACTTGTTGTTTCATTAACTTTTAATGTTTTTTTGTTGAATTCCATACATAACAGCTCAACTATTTCTGGTGCAACAGCTATTGAAAAAAAACAACAGACATTGATGATGCAATACTGGTACTGCTGGAAAAGGAGGTTATTATTTCAGCAGTGGAAAGACTCTCTAAAAAATACCTTCACTTCTCAGTACATGTTACTATAAATAACTTTAATAATCATTTTCATCCATCATATGTTTTACAGTATTTATTACAGTGTAGTAAAGACCAATAATCACTGCTCTGTTTCAGTTTTAGGGGTATTGAATGGTAAAATCCGAGCCTCTCCGAGCATGCGAACCCCTTGTTTCCCTTGTTTTAAAATCCGAGCACCAGCCTTTTGCTGAACAAGTCCAAAATTTTGGCAATTGCGTCTTCCGAGCAATTTTAAATCCAAGCCCCTTTCTTTTAAGCTCTGAGGTGGAGAGTGTTGGGAAATTTTTGGCAAGCCTCACAATTTCTGAGACACAATTCTTGCCCTTATTTTTCCATTTAACAAACAATACGCCTCACATCATAAGAAGCACTACAACTGCTCATTTTGAAGTATATTTTTAAAGTTCCTGACTTTAGTAGTACCATTCTTAAAATTCCAGTACAAGCTGGATTAGATGATTCTTCTTAGGATAGAAAACATTGGAAATAGCCCTCTTGCACCAGAAGTTTGAGAACAGTTTATGGGTGAAAATATGACACAATATACCTGAATTATGACCATTAACTTTCTCTCCTATATCCTCTAAAATCCCCAATAGCTGATCTGTGCAGTATTATGATAGTGTTAAGAGTTTATTAACAGTTGATATTATCAGCAATCAGTCAATTTGCTAATCATTGATGCAAAGTGTGATTTCAAATAACCAGGAAATTCATGTTTTTAATTAATGCAATTCTTTTCCCAGGGCAAAAAATACCAACAGGCGAAAAACCTCCATYAAATTAAGAAACTAACGTTTTCAGATKTAAAAAGGAAAAGAAAAGGTCAACCTATGAAGACACTTTTAAGAACAGTTTATAAGCGATTGAACGATTACGAGCCAAGTCAAATACTGAAAGCCTGTTTCAGGCAAAAGGAAAACAATTTAATCTGTAAAGGTTGAACGWCATTCAAGTAGAATGACAGYTAAATGTCTCTTGAGGAGGGACRGGCAAATAATTGATTGATTGAAATATTAACGCACAGTAAAATATTTGTAACAAACTATCTGTTGCTTATACCTGCAAATAATTTTTGCCTGTTCCCAACTCACCTTTAGTAATTCCCAAATGAACTGACAGTTTATTAACAGTGATGCTTGTAGGGGTGATATCATCCATTTCATGCAGTCCCTACAAAAATCAAAACATTATTAAAACATTATTATTATTACCGTTTTACCATGATAATTACCATCGAATCCCTTCAAAAGCCATGCCCCATGACTACTGACAGGGCATGGAAACAGGGCAAGCCCCAATTGACATTAATTCTATCCGAGACAATATCTAAATAGAGCGGATTTCGCATGAGTGGGAAACGGACGGTACTGTACTGTGACCGTAATCGTACTGTAACCAAATTTTAGTGTCCCATTGCTTCACCAAAATTGTGCAGGCCAGGTTCGGTAACTGTGCRGTAACCGTGCGGTAACGGTGTCCCACTCATACGAAATCCGCTCTATAAATTGTAAACATACAGGTAGACAGTTGATATATTATACAAAAAAAATGAAAAGTAAGAGTTTAAGGAATGATGAAACATTCAACTTGATTTAACTGTCCAGGGTAAAGTGTTGTAACATTTTGACAAAGTGTTAAGGGTAAAGCATTACGGACTGTTGTTATGTCTGTGAGAGCAGTAAATTCCCACTGCAGGTTTTTTACCTGTTTTCTGTCATATCGTGGCTTGAGTTTTGGTGACACTGTATGTTGTTGTCTAGTGATTGTTGGTCCACCTATTGTAGTGCTAGTTGTTGAAGCAAGTCTCCTYAATTGGCAATGTGACACATTCTAATGGAAAATCAATACAATTTACCATGAAGTTATAACAAAATGACATCAATAAAGACAATTCCATATTCATTCATATCTAGAATAGTGACTTCATGATAAATTTCATCAGTGCATTTAGTTTAAGTGTGAAAAGTTATAGTTTGTATAAAATGCACCTTCATGGGCTAATAATCCTGTCATAAAGCTCTGAAGCATGGYATTACACTTCGCTCAATCAAAGCAAACAAAAATACCATTTTTAGACACAGTGGTGGATAGAGAAACAATGTTGTTGAACACATATTTATTCCTACTTTAGCTTGCTTATATCATATCTCAGACATCAGAAAAGAATGTTTTTCTTGGTTTGAATAATTTTACAATTATTTCTTAGATTTAGGCTGGTTCAGACAAGGATCTTTTGTTGAGTCTAATCTAATTATAGAGTTGAGTTTAGGAGCATTTTATKCTCCAAATACATTGACATTGGTAGATTTTAAGTTGATATTTTATCACTGTTAACTCACTGTTAAATAATTATGATGAACAAAAGATTGAAGTCAGAACTTCAATGCCTTTTTTAGGTCTTCAGTCAATTATTACTGAATTAAGTCAAAAATTATTGTTTGTTATAGCTGTAAAGTTTATTACTCACTAAAGTATAATTGATGAAAAGTCATACAGACCTACCTTAACAGAAACCAATCTCAAGTATGAACTCTGACTTAAATGTCTGGATCCATTTTGTGATGCCTGGCAGACCAATAATCTACTAGCRCTACATGATTGACAGGCTAATACCTTCAGAATATCAAAAATATCATAAAATTAAAGTGGAAACAATAATATGATTTAATTAGGACTGATGACAAGAAAATAATATCAAAGACAATAGAAAAGATAAATATTAAGTTATTATACAGAAAAAAAAAAATAAAAATCACGTCGGTCGTCCAGTGGACTATGCGCGAATTGTCCATGTWACTCGTAGTTCACGAGACTTAGTGCTCGATTTGTTAATCAAGATTTTAAATCTCACGGAAGGAATCAAGAGGTAATTAACTAAAGTATCAAAATAGCATTCACGTGTTTGTACATTTCAATTAAAAAGCCGGTGTTTTACGCACACATATTAACTTTTAAGCTTTATGTTGACTGTTGACAAGATTTTAACCTACATTAGCAATGTTTTGCATTTTCTACATCCTAAATATATCTATTTCATGACAAAATTCTTTATTCGTTGAGAAATAGCGATCGTAGATAAGGAACCGGAATGTTGATAGAGTATTATTGCATAAGTATGAAACTTGCAACAAGAGTGAAATGAAATGGGCAAATGTGCTATTTCATCGTAATGTTGTCAATTTTAAACATATTTAACAGCAGTTTATAAAATGCAATGATGCTTACTTGTAGAGTATTGCTTTTTAGAAGCCAACGCATCCTGGAAGTCGTCGAAAAASGACTTTTATTTGCGGTAAATTTGCTCACGTTGAGGGGGTCGCCATCTTGAATATGAGCCTGCAACATATTGTCAGCGGATTTCTTGATAGACATTAACAAAGGGAGCCCAAATTTGAAGTTTCTTCGCGCCTTCTTACTTACTTTTTAAATTCAGGAAATCCATGCTCCAACAGCTTTGAGTTGTATTCACAAGATGCAAGGGCACAAATGATTATGGACCACCTTGATGGCAATCCAGTTGATAAACACAAAATGTCGATGATTGTTTACAAGCACTTCAAACTGTAATGTATTGCTTTATAAATGTAATCAAATACTGTAAAATTAGTTTGTTCTTTGTTTTGTTCCTGCAAAGAAGTTTTTTTTYAAAGCAAAAACACAGATTGTCGGATATCTCGACTTTATGCGATTTTTGAACCACACACAGTTTGAGCTAGCTCAATCTGTGTTTTTCGAAGCAAAAAAAACCCGCCCGGGAAAAAACAACAATAATTGAAGGCTTGAAGACCTCATGTCATTAATGTGAAAAAAGAAACACAATATCTCATAAAGAAAACTCATTGGATCACTTGATAAATGTTTGTTTATTCAGAAGTACTTATAGACGTTGAATAAAATATAAAATCAAGATATTTACATAATGAAAAAATATATAAAATTAACTGCAGTTACGTGATATAAACAGCTCCAATATGATTGGCCAAAAATAGAGTTCCTTTGGAAGGGAAAGAAGAAAAGGAGGGGCATAGAACGGATACTCCCATCAGAGTGAGAAAAGTACATTACTATGCGCTGTGGGCATTGAATGGCTGACTTCCTTGAAGAAATTAAATAATATAGTACATTATGTATGCACTAGCTTAGGATTAGCTATCTCTCTTCGTTATTTCAGTCCTCGGTTCTAGAGTATTCTATTTCTGAAACTTCATTTGTCCATCTTCAATGTTTGCATTGTTCGTTTTTTTGCCTTTATTCTTAAAGACAGTGTTAATCACCCTTCAGCAGTCCCTAGTACAGGAACATATCGAAGTCTTTATCCATAACTGTTCTCACCAAATATGACATTTTTTCTTAGGATTCATAGGCGATCCAACAGGGCAGTTGAACGTTTTAGCGAACTCCAAGGAATTCATCAATGTTCCATTTACTCTGAAAAACAAAGAACAAGAATTGAAATCTATCCATAGACAAAATACGACAAGATGTATTTRATTTACCTCCAGGGTAGGGGTGCGTAAACGTTATGTCTCATCAGRATKASAGAACGCAGTCGATCAATGTGACCACACCAATTCTACAAACCAATAGTATGTATCGTTAGACGAATGAATCCTTGTCTATCACAGTGTTGCTTAGAATAGGACTTGCTTTGTTAGAGACATTTGTTAGACGGATGAATC